ATAGAGACAGAAGCGCGCTTGTAGCACCTGGGTTGGCGGAATCAAGAGATGTAAATATAGGGAATAACTGTCAGATTTTTTGATTTCATGATGATGAACAATCAAATTTAGCTTGTGTGATAATTTTATGCATAAACAACAATCAAGCAAGCCACTCGATTGATCACATCATGAAATAAAAAAAATTAGACAGTTATTCCTTAAATAAATTTCGCCAAGTGAAAGGTCAGCAACAAAAGTGGTCTGATATGCATGTAAATTTTATGAGATTGTCTTGTGTCGGACATCAGTGGGCCAGGGGATTATTGAAATTGACATGGAACTGAGGCTTGGTGTATTTAAATCTATTAGACATTTTTTTAAAATCTATACTGTTACACGAGAAAATTTGGCGCATATACTGCATAGCTGGTTATTTTAGCAGGGTGCTTAATTTGGCTTATTTTTTGGCATTTTGATGAAAGTCTGCTAAAATTTTAAATGCTAAAATATTCAGTTTTCTTCTTTGTGTTCCTCTGCAAAGAGTTAAAACCCTGTATCCACTAAAATAAATAAAGCCAAAATTAATGGCATACTTTTTAGGAGGAAAATTGTAAAATTTTACACCCGCTAAGAAAACCTGCTAATACGTTCCATATTGTGGCGCACATGCAAGTGGAAATGCATTGCCGCTAAATTTTAGCACTTGTTCTTGTCATTTAAAAAATATATTCTTTTTTTATATATACTAGCGGAAAAAAGAAACTGTTCATTATTAAATTTAGGAATTTTTTTCTACATTTATTGCTTATTTCAGTAACATGTAAACAATTGATAAAGGTGATTTTTTTAACAATATAGGATAGATCTCGACTCTGATGCACGGGCTTTTCATGCTTAGCGAGCACAAGTTGTTTATTGACGTGCTCATATGCACAAATTTTACTGGCCAAAATTGTTTGGAAAAAGAACTGTATAACGTTTATCAGGACTCTTTTCATTAAGAAAAACACTTTAGTTGTGACAAAAAATACCCATTTGTCATGCCACGACTCAGCGAAAATCAACCTAGTATTGCTGTTGGGATGCTTCAAGCTGGAATGGCACAAAATATTGTTGCAAGACACTTTGGAGTTCATCGGAACACCATCCAATCATTATGGACACGTTTTCAACAATCTGGAAACACTCGCGTGATGTTGAGTTGACAGGACAACCACATTAGACTCGTGCACCTGAGAAATTGGTTCCAGACAGCAAGTTTGACTGCTAGAAGCATAAATCCTGGACTTCGACCAATCAGTCCAAGGACTGTGCGTAATTGTCTGTGTGCAATTGAGCTCAACATCAGACCAAGACGTCCAGCTCTGCACCCAGTACTGCTTCAACGTCATCGTATCGCTAGACTAGCACGGTGCAGATGACATCTGCGATTCAGAATAGAGGACTGGGCCAATAGAGCAAAACTCGGTTATAACGAAGTCACAGGGACATATGAAATTACTTCACTATATCCATAATTCGTTATATCCGGATAAGAAATTCATTAAATTAATATAGTGGGGATCCAAAATGACTTCGCTATATCCGTAAATTCGCAATATCCGTGTTCGTACTAAACGAGTTTTGCTGTATTCTGTTCAGGCCGTTGTAGAGTGTATCGTCGCATTGGGGAGCGGTACCAGGACGCTTGTGTTTTGCAACGGCGACACTCACTGTTCAGTGGGGGTAGTGTTATGGTGTGCGGTGGAATCACAGCACGTGGAAGAACCCCTCTACAAATTGTCAATTGAAGTCTAACTGCGCAAGCTATCTTGACGAAATTATTCAGCGCCATGTGATACCCTTCATGCAGGGACAGCAAAATCACATTACGCTACAGCAAGACAATGCAAGGCCACATGTTGCACGTGTAGTCATGACTGCAGGGACATTTTCGTTGGACAGCATGTCGATGTCTTGCTTTGGCCAGCTGTTTCCCCTGATTTATCGCCGCTGTTTCCCCTGATTTATCGCCGATTGAGCATGTTTGGGATGAAATGGAACGACATCTACGTCGTTTGCTGAATCAGCCTGTGACGTTGGTTGATTTAGGCCAGGTCTTAACCCACATCTGGAACAATATCATACATGTGATTCTTCCGGCGGGAGGCAAAATCTCCCGATTTTTAACCCCCCTTCCACCCCTCCCGATTATTTTTTAAATCTTCCGTGTTTAAAATAATTCTTCAAATTAAATATTTTGTGCTTTAATTTTTCTCATGTTTCTTATAATTGCTTAGAATGACAAGACATTGAGATAACAATGGCAGTGCAATAAATTTTCACAGCAGTAGGCTTTGTAGTAATCAACATGAGGTCGTATAATTTGGTTGTAAAAATTAGTGATATATCCACTTGATAAATGACCATCGATGTTTTATTGCTGAATGCAGAACATTGTAATTAGTTGTTAACAGGCTAAAATCCCCAACTGCCATCTTTAAAAGCTGCGGTGATCCTTAAAAGATACAGTTATAATGTGGGGTCACTTTTCAGTAGACTGGTATTGCCTGTCTTTACCCTACGCAGGAAAATATCAGACAGGCAGGCCAGTCTAACTTTTCAGTTAAAAATAGATCAAACTACAGGGTGTTGCAAAAAAGATATACCTGATTTTACTTTGCTGTATTGTTAGAGAAGTTAATTTAATATCTTTATATTCTATTTTAAGAAAAATACTGACAAAAAATATGTAACATATAGACCTATGTTTTACATCTCTCAAACCGGTTGATGTATCAATACATTACCAAATCAAAAATAAAATCCAATGTTTTAATGATGATGTAACTCTTAATTAATTTCAATGAATTAATTTAATTTTGAATAATCAATTTCATTTCATTTGAATAAAAAATTTAACATATTATTTATTTTAAAGCTAGACTTTATGAAATAAAAATTATTTGAAGTAATAAAGAGGAAGAAGGTATTTTCTAGGGGGTTGGATTGCATTTTGCGATTTGAAAAAAAGTTGATAAAAAATCTCCAGCTTTGAAACCCAAACTCCAGCTGAAAAATTTCAAATCTCCAGTTATGATTGTTCAGTTCTGTCACATATGCCCCTTACAGAAAAAACTAATAGAAACTTATAAGTGTTTTATAATCCACTTATTAGCAACTTAAAAGTCACTTATAAATTTTGAAATTTACTTATACGTGTACTATAAGTCAAAGTAAGTATAAGTGAGGAACGAATTTCATTAATACTTCACCTATAAGTAAAGATGAGCTATACATATCAGTGAATATTTCACTTATACCTCGCTTATAAGTGAAGATCAGTATGGTACGAGCGAAGTATAAGTGTGGACTTAGAATTTTTACCCTATACTAGACTTCTCTCAAGGAGCATTATGGGTATTCAAGTTAGCCAATCAGAAAGTTTGTCTCTGCAGAGATCAGCAACAAGAATTTGAAACGAAGTCTGTGTTTGTGAGAGGATGTTGGAGATTTTAGATTTATTTTGAGTATGCCTTCACATCAGGTACAACAAGTAGGTTCTCTATACATAATCTCTCTATTTTAACTTCCTTTGCCTGAAATTTTGAATCAATTGACTCAGTTGCTTTCAGATTTCATAAATTTGAAGAAGCCTCAAGGTCATTAAATCTTGTTGCCTTTTTGTTCAACATTTTTGTTTGTAAACTGAATTAATATGTTAAGTTTGCATCATCAAAGAAATGTCATATGAAAGTATTTTTTTCCATAAAATTTTTACTTGATTATTTCATCTTAAGTGCAGATACATGTGTATAATGTAAAAAATAGCTTTGAACATATCATGCAACCCCTGCATGGTTGGAAGTTCTGTTCTAAATTAAGATATTACAGGTAGTGTTGTACTTCACTTCTAAGTGACTTATAGATGACTAATACTTGATAAAGTATGAAGGGTTAATGCTTGACTTATAAGTCACTTATAGTCACTTATAAGTGACTATATACTTGCATAAAGCATAAGTGGCTAATACTTGCTTATAAGTCACTTATAGGTCAGCAGCTCATTTGCATATAAAATCCTAATGAGTAATATATTAGTCACTTATAAGTTAAATGTATCAGTGAAGTATAAGTCCAGAATAAACAACTTATAAGTAAAAGAATAAATCACTTATAAGTCACTTATCAGAAATTTCTGTAAGGGACATGTATGCAATATTCCCCAAGCATTTCTGAACACGGTGGTGTCATCAATGAGGTGCCGTTGTCAAGCATGCATGAATGCAAATGGTGGTCACACACGATATTAACTTTGTTAATTCAAGTTTGAATACCAAATGAATGTCTTTCGAGTGTTCTTAAATTGACGTTGTTTGACCTTAACGTTAATAGGTTATTTTAAAATTGTTGTAATGAATGCATTTGTTAAGTTAAATAGTATTACTAGAAATAAAAATGACACCGAACTAATTTTTATTTCTAGAAATAAAAATTAGTTCAGTGTTATTTTTATTATCTATTCATGTAAGAAATAATGCACAGTTTCTCTTTTCCGTTAGTATATTTTTCCCTTGATCCACACAAGTAAATTTGGGTTACTACTATTTTATCATGCAAACACAATTATAATAACAAACAGTGATAAAATAGTAGTAACCCAAATTTACTTGTTTCACAGTATTGACAATTTCATTTCACAATCAAATGTAAAATTAATATAAGGAATAACTCTCTAATTTGTTGGGTCTGCAAGCTTCTTGAAAAGGAGATTTTAAATTAAGTTTTTCCCTTTATATTTTAATATAATTTATGAATCAAAATTATTTGTCATTTGAATCATACCTTAACACTCTGTTTATGAAAAAAGGCTTAAAAGGTTTGAAAATCAACTAAAAACTTGAATTTCAAACCCATGACAGCACTGAATTGTACCTGCCAATTTCATTGTATCTCATCAAATGTTTTGATTCAAACAGATGAAAATGACATATGCAGGATAATTCCAATCTTGCCAGTAATTTTTTTTTTTTAGAATGGCTCTGAGCAAACCAACATCTCCAGATGACAGGACAAGGTTTATCAGACTTGGTTTGATCATTATTGAGGAGTTAACACCAGTGATGCAAGACATACTAGCAAATGAAATCTCGCCTAGTAATATATTCAATACAGTAAAACAAAAAATAACATTGTTCCAAAAACTTGGACCAGATCAAATAGATAAAATTAACAATGCCAAGACCCAAGGTTACAAAGACATTGATATTACCCTATTATATACACTACTGCGTAATCTCTGTCCAAATATTCCAAAACCCACCAAAGGATGGGGAATATCTGCAATGCCACAACAAAGTGAAACAACTCTTGGAGATGATATTGAACGAATCCGTCTGATAAGGAACAAAGTATATGGTCATATTTCTGTGCCCTCTATATCAGAAAGGGAGTTTAGAGAATACTGGTCTACAATTTTTGACATCTGCAAACGAATGCAAGTCCTGCTGCCAGGGAAAAATTACATACAGAGCCTACAGCTTGCTGAAGGATGTACCATTGATTCAGAACGAGAAAATATGTATATGAGTAAAATAAAAGATCTTATTGAAGGTGAAAAAAGTACCAGAGAATTGCTACAAAGATTTATAGCTGAGAAAGGTGATTATATGAACACTAGCCATTTCATACACTGGTAAAAAAAATCCTCTAAAGTCTGTCCATTGCATAATACTTTTTCTAAAACCTTGATATATTTTTGTTTTTCTACATTTTTTCTGCAGTTGTTTGAGCTTTAGCCTTATTTTGTAGAGTTATCATCAAAAGAAATTGTAAGAATTGAAACTAAGAGCCCACAGAAAAGGAAACTTGCTGATGCAATGACAGACACTAGCATCCAGATTTTAAATAATATGGTGAATAGTTAAATGAGAATTCATCTAATTCAGATTTAAAGCAACTTTACAAAGCAATAAAAAACTTCATAAAAGAAAATAAGGAGGAAAGCGCAAGACTGGCCTCTGATCCATTTTTTGAAGAACTTACACAAAAGATAGTAGCATATGCCAATCTAAAAGAAGATGACAGGATGAAAATCTTGGCCAGATTTCTTCGATTTATCTTGAAGTTAAAGAAAACATACACTGCTTCTTTAGTGAGCTCTAATGGCAGCTTACTTCTTAGGATAACCTTTGCTTCAGAGAGAGGCTATAACCTATATAGACGGGACTTGGAAAGTGGTGAAATTGGTAGACAGATACTGAAAGTACTTTTGTTTCCTCCACACCTTGCAAGTTTTAACCTTAAAGCTGAGGATTTAATCGTATATCTGAATGATCATAAAATAACACAAGAACAAGGTAAACACCTCAAATTAATTTATGAACAAGATCAAGGTTTTCTCTTGCTTATTATTTCTGTTATCAGTAGTGGGTCCAGAAGTTCCCTGGGGGGAGGGGAGTCCCAAAGGGCTGAAAAGGGGGATGGGAGGGGGTCGGGGAAAATTGTTTTAAATGGCTCTAAATGGTGCATTTTCCAGCATTTTGGGCTACATTTTGTAGACTTTTTTAAAGACTGGTCATCACAATTTTTTAAGAATTTGGAAAAATAAAATGTTTCAAATTAATTTAACTTTGGCACAAGACTTTAGGCTTTTCTTGTAAAACAGGTTTTTAAATCTGACAATTTTAGGAATATAAGCAACTGACTTCAAGATGTCCTCACTTAAAATGCACCTTCAGTTAGTCATATGTCAAGCTGACTTCAAAGATACAACTGTCTGGGCCAGGAAAAATGAAACTCGGATGGAAGCATCCATAAGTAGTGTAGATTCAAGTTAGTTCATGACCCTCGGCGGATAGGATGGGGCCACAGTTGACAATCAAAGTTTTACATAGGAATGTATAGGAGAATTTTTCTTCTCAAGAACAGAAAAGCTAAGATTGGTTTTGTTGTATATGGAAGCATCCTCATGTGGTGTAGATTCAAGTTTGTTAAAATTATGACTTGGGGGGGGGGGGAGTAGAGAAGGGCCACAATAAAAGTTCAAACTTGTAGGAAAAAAGTCAAAGAAAATAGTATGCAATCTTATCAAATCATACCTCTCTCCCTTTTAGGGGTAGGTCTGGACCACTTTTGCATTTAAGCTTTTTAACACTATACTGATTTTCTGGGTTTTTTTCTTCGCCAGTGCTCAGGTGAGCAATGTGGCCCCTGGACCTCTTGTTTTTCTAAGGCAGTGCTCAGGTGATTGATGTGGCTCTTGGGCCTCTTGTTGATTATTTTCTCATGGCTCTTTTGTTGAAAATGTGAAATTTTTAAAGACAAATTGATGAACAATATTAATAGGTGATTGGGTAAATTCATGTTCTTATGCTTAGAAGAACCATCTTTATGAACTCCCTATTTTAAGGGCAAAATTATACAAGAAACCCATGGACTTTACCGCTCACCTGAGCACTGTGGCTAGGAAAAGAGCAGAAATCAGTTTATTTTTGAAAAGTGGTCCAAACCAATCCTTAAAGGATTGGAATCTACACTAAATAGGGATGCTTGCATATTTCTTTAACTACCTGTGGCTTTATTGCCCTTTACATTTGAACTTACATTGTGCCCCTCCACCCCTCCCAACTAAAATATGACCAGTCATGGCCTTGCTGTCCTTGATATATTTTTTCCTATCTACATTTTGTATTTCTAAGTAAAACTTGGATCCCCAATTGTTGGCACGCACTATCCCTGGGGGTCATGATTTGAACAGACTTGAATCTACACTACCCAAAGGTCATGCTTCCATATAAATATGATCAATCATGTCTTTGCTATTCTTGAGAAGATTTTTAAAGAATTTTCCTATATATTTCTATGTAAAACTTTGATCGGCCATTGTGGCTCCATCTAGTCCAGGGGGTCATGATTTGAACAAACTTGAATCTACATTACCTGAGGACGTTCCCCATAAGTTTCATCTTTCCTTGCACAGTGGTTTTTCAGATGATTTTTACAACATGCCACCAAATTTTCAATATTTCTGAATTATCTCCCTTTGAATAAGGGTGTGGCCCTTCATTTGAACAAACTTGAATCTCTTTGACCCAAGGATGCTTTGTGGCAAGTTTGATTGAAATTGGCCCACTGGTTCTGGTGAAGAAGTCGAAAATGTGAAAAGTTTACAGACAGACAGGCAGACAGACAGCTAGACAGACGATGGAGAAAATGTAATCAGAAAAGCCCACTTGAGCTTCCAGCTCAGATGAGCTAAAAAAAGGTTATATGTCTGACCCAAGTTCATCCTGACAAAAAAAGGATGACATTGACCTACAGGACATCTTACATAATACTTTAACTTCTTTGCATCTGAAATACAAATTGTACAAGAAATTATCTTTTTTCTAGCCCAAATGACCACAGCAAAAAGTCACTTGGAAGAAAATCGACACGGTTCTCCTCTAGTGCACATGGAAATGTGTGAATTCCATGATTTACGTATCAATTTGATATGTGAGGACTGTGATGAATTCATTTGTGCTGAGTGTGCCAAAACAGACCATAGAGATCATAACTGGAAGACTCTTACCTCTGCAGCCACACAAAGAAGGAGAAATATGCAGGAATTTCTGAAGAAGATCATGGAAGAGGATCTGCCTGGGATTGATGAGAAGATGGAGAAGATTCCACAACAGATAACAGAAAATAAAGAACTGTGTGACTCTGAGATTAAAAAGCTACAGAAGCATTATGATGAAATAATTACCAGGCTCTCAGAAATCAGGAAAAATAATGAACAAAGATTGAGAGATAGTTTGGAGGAAAAGAATGATCAACTGAACCATGTGAAATCTGAGTTAGAGAAGAAAAAGAAAGGAATTGTTGACACAGTGGAATTCATAGAGGAGAACAATAGCACCATGTCAGATTACAGCTTGATTGACTACCACAGAGAACTGAGAAAAACATTGTCTGAAATAGAGGTTCAAATGACAAACTGTGAACATTCATTGAGGTTCAATCCAAGCGAAATCAATGAAAACCTACTCGATTCTTTGACTGGAAAAACACTGCATTTAGATGATCTTGTAGTGACTCGAATAAACTCGTTTCAATATGGAAATAATGCAATAACTATGTTGGAGACATTCAGTGAAGATCAATGTTACATAAGAGAAAATATGTCAGAGTATACAGGAAAAGTTAACAAGGAAGGAGAAAAAGAACAGATAATTAATATCAATCCATATGACATGTGTGTGACTGATTAAGGTGATGTTTATTTCACTGACATCATTGAGATGTCCATCCAATGTCTGTCACCATCAGGATCTGTCTCTACAGACATCAGTACAGATCCACTTGAACCATTAGGAATCTGTCAGTCAGTGGACGGTGGACTACTGGTTACCCTGAGAGACTATGTAACACATTCTTACAAACTAGAGTCACACAGCAGATGTCTGGTGAGACACATCACAGTGACAGGTGACGTCATCCAGGAGTATGAGTACCAGGAGGACGGTCAGACCAGACTGTTTACATGGCCATACAGTGTCACACAGAACAGTAACAGTGATATCTGTGTTGTGAACCTTACAGGTAACACTACAGGTGAACTAGTGATTATTTCTCCCTCTGGTCGTATGAAGTCTGTCTATCGTGGACAGAATCTGAAAAAGAACTTTATTCCATTTGATGTGGTGTGTGACTCCCACTGTAACATCCTTGTTACTGACTCACTTAACAACCAGATCCATCTATTGAATCCTGACAGGAAATTCCTGAAGTTTTTACTGACAGACAATGAAAAGAATGGTCCATACTCACTGTCCCTATATAAGTCTACACTGTGGGTTGGTTATGATGGACTTGTAAAAGTGTTTACATACTCAGTGTAACGTTTAATAAAGATCTCTTTTTTCTGAAATATGTATGATATATGTATACAGACTTCTCATTCTCTGTTATTAAATTTTCAAATCATATTTTTCTACAAGTAATAACCAGAATCATCAATTACATTCATTATTTCAACATCAAATATCACTTTGTTTAATTAAGAAATAAATAACAAGTTTATAAACTTCAATGGGAATTGAAGTAGGTCGGTCACGTGATCAAAGCCTATGAAGGCCGAAGGCCTTCTCAGAAGATTTGATCACGTATCAACCCACTTCAATTCCAATTGAATTTTATAACCTTGTTATTTATTACTTATATGTATATTTGAGACGGACAATTAAATATTAGATTTAATATATTCGGATATAAATATTGCACTAACTGGTCGCCGTAGATTTCCGTCAAGAGTATTCAAGGTGTAAATCGGCTTGAAAGGCGGTTATGCTTCGAATTCGTCAGGCTAAGAATTCTGTTTCGAAGGGAATATTTTGTTAAAGGCTACTTGTGATCAGTAATAGTGAATAGATTTTTCTCTGGGAATATTTTTATTTGTGAAAATTGATCATTAATGCTGAAAAGACACAAGAAACACGTCCGAGAATTGATGATAAAATGTTGGAGGGATTTCGGCCGCCTGAGAGGGATGGATGGATCCGATGGATTGAGAGCCAATTCATTTGCAATCAAGTATTAATTTTGATCAAAAACATTTAATCTACGATTTCAGTAACTAAAAGTATATTTATGATGTTAACATGGAGACACTGGTGACAGTTTACATTGAAGTACGACAGCGTCGATCGAGGTGTTTCTCAGCTGTTCATGGCGTGATTGCAATGCTTTAATATTTTCCAATAGATTTACACATTTATCGTGAGTAGAATTTAATGAAAAATATAGTTTTAGCCTATATCATGAAGATTTAACTTAAGGTCTGACAAAAAAAAGGATATACTAAAAAGTTAGTGACTGTGTAGTTTAAAAATTGACATACAACTAGGGGTGGGACGATACACAGATCTTGCGATACGATACGTATCTCGATATATTGGCACGACACGATACGTATCTCGATATTATGATAAATCAAAAAACTATTAAAAAATAGTATTTTATTTCATTTTTTTTGGTCTTGACATGAACACAATATGATAAATTGTAAAACTATTCAAAAGAATTAGTATTTTATTTAATTTTTTTGTCTTGACATTAACTCAAAAAATTATTCTATATCAAATTATGTGTGCTATGAAATTAATACTTAAGTTCATCAACTTCATTGACTAAAACTTTACAAAAAACAATAATACAGGGCAATTGTACATATTACCAGATTTCTATTAACAAGTTGTTTACAAATAGTTGTGTAGTTTATCAACGAACACTGACTAAAAAGTCATTAAAAAATAACATTTATATTATTATTAATTGCTGAAAGTGTGTAGCCAAGTTGAGATTACAAACAAAGTATGAATGGACTAACAATAAATAATGTCAAATGTTCTGGAAACGATACTTTTCTGTGTATAGCACGCATTGCACACTGAACTTTTCTTGTCCAATCTTCCGAGGCTGCTTAAAAATGAAAACGTATTACCCCTAATCAACGACTTATCAGTTCTTAAGTGTGTTTTCAATATCAACACCATCTCTTCGCTTCGTACAGGCCGCCATTTTCAAGGACAGGTTCTTTCATTTTCAATTTCTAAATAGGTCGTTCGTGTATCGTTTCGTACCGATATTTGAATGCTTGTATCTTAAACCGTATCTTAGAAGAAAATATCGATATGTATCGGTGTATCGGTATATCGTCCCACCCCTACATACAACGTGTAAACAAAGGCTAGATTCTATCGGTATATTCTTTATGAACACAGGTTAAATCTATAGCCAAAAATGTATCAAATATTTGTTCACGTTGTAAATAAAACAATTATTTCACTTGCTTATTTTGTTCATTTTTATACATGAAAAGCAAGTCATTTTATTTTGTATTTATAAGTAAAGGTAGAATATATATTATTGCGCCGTGTGATTCGGTCATGTATTGACCTTTGACCTCCGACAAACTTCATACAGAATTGAAGATATTTTCTCTCTGTATGTTTATATAGTGGAAAGATACCACAAATGTATATATTTGTTAGTAAGTGTTAATTGATTTAAATTTTTGATTTATGACTACTGTAATCATAAAATACAGCGATTTCCAAATATTTACATTTCCAATGTTTTTGTCCGAGATAAAATTACAAATTGTAAATGTACTTTATTTCCCCATCCATGTATTGGTGTGGTTCCAAAAAAACCACGTGCAGGATGGGACAAACAGCTAGACAGAAACAGGGCTTGGAGCACATGGATTGGGGGAATCAAAGCATTTAAATATAAGGAATAACTGTCAGATATTTCAATTTCATGACGTTGATCAATCGATTGGCTTGCGTGATACTTTTATGCATAAATGCCTTCGGCGTTTATGCAAATTATCACGCAAGCCAATCGATTGATCACATCATGAAATCGAAAAATAAGACAGTTATTCCTTAAACATCAGGATAGAAAATGTAAATCAAGTTATAATTTCCTTTTAAGAACAAAAGGCCCAGGGGCCTCATAGGGCACATGAGCATTACCCTTACAGAAAAAACTAATAGAAACTTAAAAGTGTTTTATAATCCACTTATTAGCAATTTATAAGTCACTTATAAATTTTGAAATTTACTTGTAAGTATGCTATAAGTCAAAGTAAGTATAAGTGAGGAACGGATTTCATTAATACTTCACTTATAAGTAAAGATGAGCTACATATCAGTGAATATTTCACTTATACCTCACTTATAAGTGAAGATCAGTATGGTATGAGCGAGAATAAGTGTGGACTTAGAATTTTTACCCTATACTAGACTTCTCTCAAGGAGCATTATGGGTATTAAAGGAAACCAATCAGAAAGTTTGTCTCTGCAGAGATAAACAACATGAATTTGAAACCAAGTTAGTGTCTGTAAGAGATGTAGTTGGAGTTTTCAGATTTATTTTGAGTATGCCTTCATATCAGGTACAAGTAGGTTCTTCTTACATCATTTCTCTATTTTAACTTCCTTTGCCTGAAATTTTGAATCAATTGATTCAGTTGCTTTAAGATTAATTCATAAATTTGAAGAAGACTCAAGGTCACTAAATCTTGTTGCCTTTTTGTCCAACATTCTAATGTTTGTAAACTGAATTAATATATAAAGTTTGCATCATCAAAGAAATGTCATATGAAAGGGATTTCTTTCATAAAATTTTAACTTGATTATTTCATCTGAAGTGCAGATACATGTGTATATGTATAAAACAAAAGCTTTGAACATATCATGCAACACCTGCATGATTGGAAGTTCTGTTCTGAATTAAGATCTTACAGGTAGTGTTGTACTTCATTTATAAGTGACTTACAGATGACTCATACTTGATAAAGTATGAAGGTTAATGCTTGACTTATAAGTCACTTATAAGTGACTATACTTGCATAAAGCATAAGTGGCTAATACTGGCTTATAAGTCACTTATAGGTCAAGCAGCTCATTTGCATACAAAATCCTAATGAGTAACTTATTAGTCACTTATAAGTTAAATGTATCAGTGAAGTGTAAGTCCAGAATAAACAACTTATAAGTAAAAGAATAAATCACTTATAAGTCACTAATATCAGAAATTTCTGTAAGGGCATGCAAAAATTTTCCAACAATTGAATTTGGTTCATATTTTAAACTAGATGTCATGGCATTCACAAATTGAAAGAGGCACTATTGCTTATCATAACTACATGTATACACTTAGCATACTTACTTTGGTAACTTTATACCCATTGACAGAGTAGGGGAACAAAAAAATGCTTTTCAACTAATCAGTAATATTCAGCAATAATCAGTAGTGCCACTACCACACATGAACCCCTGACCCTATACAATTTTGGAAAAGGCACCCTTACTTATCAAAAATGTTTTATTAACATCAAGGAGCAGATTTCAATCAATTAATTCATTTTCAGTACATAAGTAGAGCCCCCCTTTAACCCAGGGGCCTTGAAATTCACAATTCAGGAAGAATGGCCCTTGCTCATCAATGCTATATAGATAGTTCATCTGCTTAATATCCAGGAGCAGAGAAGAAAATTTTCAAAGATTTCACTATATAATCAATAGAGCTCTGCCCTAACACCAGAAACCCTGACGTAAGGGCCAAAAATTTCACAATTTTGGAAGAGGCATTCTTTCTCATCATAACTATGTACTTAGTTAGTTTGTTTAATACCCAGGAGCAGAGATGAAGATTTTTAAAGAAATAATGCATTTTCACTATATAATCAAAAGAGCCCCGCCCTAACACCAGAACCCCTTACCCTGGGGCCATAAAATTCACAATTTTGGAAGAGGCATTCTTCATCATCATAACTATGTACTTAGTTAGTTTGTTTAATACCTAGAAGCAGAGAAGAAGATTTTCAAAGAATTTCTGCATTTTCTCTACATAATCATTATAGAGCCTCTCCCAAACACCAGAACCCCTGACCCTGGGGCCATAAAATTCACAATTTTGGAGGAGGCATACCTTCTCGTCATGACCATGTACTTAGTTATTTAAAACCCAGGAGCATAGAAGAAGATTTTTAAAGAAATAATGCATTTTCACTAAATAATCAATAGAGCCCCACCCTAGCACTAGAACCCCTGACCCCGGGGTCATGAATTTCACAATTTTGGTAGAGGACTCAATGGTCATTACATTCATGCTAACAGTTTGACTGCTTGATGTCCAGGAGTAAAAAAGAAGATTTTTAAAGATTTCATTAATTTTATTGGTTTTGGCCCCATCGCTCAGGCCCCAGGGGGGCAGGGACCATGAAATTCATAATTTTCGTTCCCCTTCTTCCTTAGATACTCTTTGCCAAATTCGGTGGAAATCTGTTGAGTGGTTGCAGAGAAGAAGCTAAAAATGTTCAAATGTTAACACACGACGCACGATGAAGGACGAAAACAGACAGTAATAGGTCATCTGAGTTTACTCAGGTGACCTAAAAAAAAGTAAGGCTTCTTGGAATTAAACCCAGTACCCTTAAATTTGTATTCGAATGCTTTACACACTACACTACCCAAGCTGGTGATGGCACAGTGCTTAGAGCATCTGCCCTAGTCACGTAGTAAGTCAATCCTTACGTTGCGGGTTTGAATCCACTGTGGGAAGAGGAGACCAGTCCCTCAGATGAGACTGTATAAACCACCATCCTGTGTCACCACCCCTGTCAACGCGCGATCAGCAACGCGGATGCGATCGGCAACGCAGATCAAAACATTGAAGAAGAAAGTATTGTAGGGGGTAAATTTTAATAGTTTTGTATGTGTTGGAGTGTAACCCGCTGAAAATGAAATTAAAAAAATTTAATTTAGATAATTATCTTCAGTTTAGGATTTACCAAGAGTAAATTGGTTTCATAGTTTCTGTGCAAATGCTACAGATCAAATCGACAATGTTCAAAATATCAAATTTCATGCTTTGAAATAGTTTATTGTTGTTATTACCTACGAACATTTGCTGCTTTTGTTAGGTAATGGTTCTTGGAAGTATGAACTAAATGATTTTAAAATTACATATATTATCTTAAAACAAATTTTAACTGGAAAATTTGACAACCGCGAGGCGATCGTCAACGTCATGTATCTTTTTATGAAGCGATCGTACAACATAGAAATAGCGATCGTACAACACACGAAATAAGAATAGCACAAATCAGAGAATCTTGTTGTCAAAAAGTTTATTTTGATATACAATAGATATTTTACATTTAAATTAGGCAGTCAGTCATTGTTATATACCTTTTTAACTCTTAAAATTGTCCTACATTAATATAGAAAATCGAAATTATCTACGTAGATTAAGAAATACAATTAAAAAGAGTTTGATGGCTAACAAAAATGTAAAGTAGAAATTTTACCTCAATTTTCATAACAGTGTCACCCCCCCCCCCAAAAAAAAAACCCTAAATATCTTAGATGGTTTTTCATGCAAAGTGTAAACTCAAAATTCAATTTCGGAAATGTGTTTTGTGGGATGGAGGGAGGGGGTTATGATTCAAGTTCTTGAACAACCAAATTTGATCCAAAAATTACCAGCTGCCTTACCCGGATTTGACTATATACTGCAAAAGGGGGAGAACCAGTCTATTGGTCCCCCCCCCCCCAATTTCAAATTACCCCCACCCCTTCAATTTGCTTCCGACGCCTTTGAAAGTAAAGTTTTTACCCCATCCCACCCCCGATTCTACACTGTGCATGATATTAAAATTGGCAAATAATTTAAAAAAATAATACTAATAATAATAACAGTTTTCAGTAAATCAAAAAATATACTGTAATACATAATGCTGTTATATTAACACGTGCGTGTACAACACATCATTACTGAAAACATTTACTGAAAATATTCGGTAAAGTTGCTGGGTATGCAAATTCCTTTGATCGTTATCTTGATAGTATTAATACATATCTTTTTTATTTTCTGAAAAAAATTCAGTTTTTGATATGTATGCCAACTCCTGTAATTGAACTGCCATATCATAGACAATAAAACCTTGTTTTCTATATTGCTAAAATTCGGTCCTATAACACTCTATAGGTATCTGTTTTAATCAATAATCAAATAATATCAAGTTGGAGGGTTCCATGGAGTTTTAAATTTCGTTCTCTTAAAATATGGACATTAATAAACTAATATACAAGAACATCAGTTAAATTCGCTCTTTCCCTCTCGAAAATCAAATGCTCGGTATCTCGTTCTATTTCGACAGACTTTCCACCCATACTACATGGCTATCTATTACTTTATTTCATTAAAAGTATTTTATAAATTTCAAGTTGCACGATCGCATGTTTATCATATTTTCTTTGTTGTACGATCGCATATAGAGTCATTGCCGATCGCCAAAACGTTTGGCATGTGTTCACTTCAAACCTTTATTTCAACACTTTCTATTTGATGAAGAACTTCAAATCGGATTTAAAATTTATGATTTACCTATTTACAATGCAAATGTGCCTTTTGAACTGTCGGGTATACGTAACAAGGTGAGAAATACCACTTAAACGAGCTTCATGTGTCACGTTAGGGCAGTCATGTTCAAGGAAAACTTAACTTTTTTTAATGCGTAGAGGACTTTTGTGGTGTTAAACATGTCTAGTAGCATTTAAAAAGTCAGAAATGTTGAAGGAAAATTGAGAGAAAATAGGACAAAATAATATTTTATTTAACCTCATCTTCCTCATGTAGTTGAATCTAACTATCCGCGTTGTCGATCGCATCCGCGTTGCCGATTGCGCGTTGACAGGGGTGGTCACAGCACATGTAGGTGCTGGCATAAAAAAGATCCCTCACTGCTTATTGGCCCTGAGTACCAACATACATTAAAATATGCAGCCCTCCATGGGCAAGTGATAGCAACTACATATGAGTGAAAATTTTGAAGAGGGACATGAAACAGAATACAAAACCAAAGCTGATGAAGAACATTGGATTTAAATTACTTTATAGCAGTCTCCTTGCTTTACTCTTTATACAATGCTACTGCATATAATTCATAAAATACACTGTATGTGTACATAATTAGGCACAGTCATTGGATATGGAGTTGTTGGAGTAATCATAAATTAGCGCTACACATGTTGTGTCGTATATTCTATATAAATTATTTCTCAGCGGTATTCATGAGTTAGCACATCCTTGTCTGCACCAACCGCTAAAATATGAATTTTAAGTACACTTACAGTATATTTACATGTTTAAAACTGGCATAAAGAATTTTGATTTCAGTGATGAATATGTTTGTCCAATGAATGTTGCTTTAGTCTGAAGCAGGGGAAAGAAGATTTCTTCAAACAAGATTATATGCTAAGATAAGAACAGTTATCTGCCCTTTGATTTGAAATCTGAATGTAATAGAAACTGTGTTAAAATATACAGTTATTGACTGGGTATGAGGGCAACATATGATTTGTTGGACCTGAAGGTGAAAATGTTGCCCGAGGCTGCAGGCCAAGGGCAACAATTTCACCATCAGGTCCAACAAATCATATGTTGCCCGAATCCCAGTCTATAACTGTTTTGTTATACCCTTCACTGCTCATTTACGATTGATCAATTTAATCAATACACGCTATATATTATCAATTATTTTATATGGAAAATTACGGCTTCTTCAGTAAATATATAACATCAAGCTGAGAAAAAACAAAATCACATATATCTATTGTATCACAAAAATTATTTATCACAAAACATACTCTTCCCTTCTTCCTTACCGTGCTGTTAGCAACAACTCTTGTAGCTCTTAACTTCGGCTATTTTCACGCCGCCGATTTTGAACGATGATTAATTGTGACGTAACAGACGAGTGACGTTGCCGTCTAACAATTCTTATGTAAGACCGGTCAATAGTGAAATTGTTAGACCGATGTAATTAACAGTTCTTTTGTTGGACTTTTTATAAGTAATAAATATATAGAATGATATTTATAAGGGTATAACAACAGTTTTTATTAATTCAAATATTGTTAACATTATAAGAGACCAAGAGAAAGTACTAGTTGTATGTTTGTATTTTCATGTTTTCCCATTTAAGTAGGAAACATTGATTTCTATGTTCTTTGTTCAGTCTCACTTGAATCAGATCTCTGATTCACTCTGAAATTTTGATAGTTCCTATGTACATTGGAAATGTTGTGAGGGTTTAGTTTGTAGATATAACTCACCTGTTTGATGGGTTCTATCTGATGAAGTGCTGAGGACAATTGGGCTTGTAGTGTGTCTGTTAGGATTTAGTTTGTAGATATATCTCACCTGTTTGATTGGCTCTATCTGATGAAGTGCTGAGGACAGCTGGGCTTGTAGTGTGTCTGTCTCCCTGTAGGAAATCAAAGCATTCTTTATACATGTACATTGTATATATTCTTAACACATTTTTAAATCTGTAGTACACAACCCTCCCTGGTATAAGGGTAAATAAATAGACTTGAGATTTTTCCATAACCCACCTCTGTAACTGTTCCTGTCTTCTGATGGCATCCTCTAACTTCCTGGTCTGCTGGTCATACTGTGTGAGAGTCAAGGATACCTCCCCACCAGGAGAATTGTTCGTATCATTGTTTTATAATGTTCCTTATATTTATAATACCTTTGTGTACAAATTAAAAGAGAACTTAATTTCCCAAAGTTAAATATATGATATAAAGTTGTAATGTAAATCTGTGATATAAATATATTAGGTATGAATGACTGGTCGAAATTATATATCAAATCTGATAATAATCTTGATAGAATTGGATATTGGTACGGTTGATTGACTTGTATATTTCCTTCTGAATGGTAATCACTATTATAATATATTCACCTAATACAGCAATTACTTAATTATCTTTTTTTCTACCTCTAGAATACAATGTAAGTAAATAAATAACATGTACCAGAATATGAAAATTCTTACATTTGCATTTCTCAATATCAAACAAAATGCTGACTCAAAATCTGTTCATTTCTTTTCTGACTTGAGGCTTACTTTGTCACTATATTATTAAGATTAATCATGATTTTTTTTTTTTGCATGTATCTTTTTTATGTTTTATTTTAATTGTTTTCTTTTGTTATTTTGGTTTTTAAAAATCGATATTAACAAATTCAATGAAAAGGATATCTTCACACTTTGTCTTGTACTTCTTGATAAGCAAGCTGAAATTTAAATAAAGTATATTAAATATAATGATTATGTCCAGTCATTACTTGATTCTTACACATTATGAATTGTTAGACAGCCTGATCTAATTATGCTTTGCTTTGTTATCTTAAGTCTTTGTCGTATAAAATGCAGAAAAATTTTTAACTGCCTTTCTTTATTGCCCATGTAAATAAAAATTAGGTCAAGTTACTAAGCATTTTTTTCTACAAATCTTCAGTTCATAACAGGGAAGTAAAGATCAATTTCCCATTAACTTCTTACTGTACATGTATTACTATGAGCAGCATGATTAGGAACTGTTTAAAATAACTACTGTTTATTTTTTAGATAAGAGCTTACTCAGTGGATATTATCTTCTTCTTCAGTGTGTTGTAACTCCGAGCATGCTCTTCCTGCAGCTTCTCATAATTCTGAAATTAGAGGTTTCATGTTATACGAGGGTTGATCCAAAAGTAATGTCACAGTGACCATATCTTTTATATTTGGCTTCATATTATCAAATATTATATACCAAAAGATGCACAAATATAAATTTAATTAAACTTTAATTTTTCATTCAATAATGTTCAACTGAATTTATTTTATAGATGTTTAAAACATATAAGATAGGGGTGTCGCCGCGTCAAAACAGAACGTCACAATTGAAAGTATACTTTTTTTAGTTTAAAAAAAGACAAACACTTAAAAAGTATCTTTTAAAAGTGCCTAAACGCAAAATACTTTACAAGACAAAAAAGTACATCACTTTCTAGTCTTAAATTGTATATTATATGACATCACTGCTATTTTTTTAATGAAAAACATCGCTAATTTATTTCAGTGCATTGAAAAAAGGAAAGGTCAAAATGGACAAAAAAGCCAAAACAAACTGTAATGCATTTTTGCTTCAAAATGGAGTAATCGCCAGTAGAGACAGTTACGTTGATTCACCCGACTTTCGGAAGAGACTTGTTTAGATGGTTTCAGGAATTTTTGGTGGGTAATGGGTCATTAAATGCTCAGCAAATGACAAGAAAACCGAAAGATGGGAGGGCGGACGGAAATGTTTAATGGTGTGTGACGTTGTCAAAAAGACAGACGGATAGAGCGATATGTGGAATTTTAAGTTGGTCTTTTACAACTGTTCAATGAATTTTGACAGAATCAATTATGAAAAGAGTGAGTGTATGATGGGTACTAAGGGTAAGAAAGTGAAATTTGTGAACGTGTTCGTGGATATCAAATCTTAAATATTTTTTTAATGAAACGAAGGGAAGCGTTTAAATGTATGACGGCGCGTATCCGTAATATGACGCTATTTAGCTGCAGCGACTACCATAATCGCATGTTGTATATAATTTGATATTTTGAAAAGTATAAATCATGTTGAATTGAAATTTTCAGGTCTGAATTGAAATAAATGTAGCTTTCATCATTAATTCATCAATAACTCTGCATGTTTTCTGGTAGTTTACTTCAGCAGCCATGACAGTTCACGCGTGATGTAATTAGACTTTCGCTTGAAATTTAGAACAACTGAATAAAGCAATTATCGGTGTTTATAAATGATTGTGCTGAATTTCATCACAAAAACATAGGTATATAAAACCATTTTAAGTGTTATTTTTATGGAAGAAGTGATATTTATGCTTAAAATAAGGGAATTCCAAAAAGATCGGCTCCTATAGAACCTAAATTCTCATTGGCTGTCTCAAAATACAATCTATCAAGGTCAGTAAACATGGCGGATAAATTCGAGTTGTGATGTTGACATACGCGAAAAATAAGCGATATAGGGGTTGTTCTGTATATTTTTGCATTGATTTACGTCTTGGATGACTACTTATTTGGAGTCAAGGTAAGAAATGTTAATAAAATAGCCATTTACTGATAATTTGAGCCGAAATCCGTGTGGGAGCGAATCACACCCGCAGCTGCACCATTACGGAGATCCTAAGGAGTTGTAGCCCTCTCCCCCCCCCCCAAAAAAAAGGGGAGAGGGCTACATTATTGCAACTAATGTCAGACCTGTTAATGAGATGTTGGACTGCTTACATTACACAATGGGCTGAGCTTAATCTCATTTGCATTTGTTGATGTTTAACACTGACTGACCTGAGGTTTACATCAGAGATGACAGTACAAGATACATGTGTGCCAATAAAGGTTTGAAATATTAAAATAAAAGGTATAGCAAAACACTTATTGACTGTGTTCTCTGGCAAAATGCATTTTGTCGAGTGTCGACCCTCAAACCAAACTGTCTGCTTCAGACTCGGAGGCCGTTAGGCATCAGGCAAACAGGTCACCTTGGTGGAGGTTCTTGGGACCAGAATGGGTCTGACAAAACACATATTCAGACTTGTCGAAATCCGTTGGTCCTGTCGGCAAGGCCATTAAAAATTTGTCTGGACCAATAACATTTAAGAAAATGTCGGTCCAGATGACCGTTTGAAAGAAATTGAGTGTAATGCAAATTTAATAAAGGTCGGGATCGGGATGCGTAATTAAATGTCACAAACCCAGAAAAAAGGCCGCATACGCAGCATGTTGATGATAGCTAAGTAAATTTGTTATAGCAAAGTCATAAAACTTGTCATTTATGTCTACGTTAAAGACTCTCTATCCCAAGAAAGGAAGCTTGTTAGATTGAAGGCTATTGAAAGTTATAAAGTACATTTTGGTGCTGTTATTCATATGACTTTTTCAGCTTCAAAATAAGGTACCAATATCTGGTCTGACAAAAGTTTGACTGGTCTGACAGAACATTCGATTTTGTCAGACCAAATGTCTGATAGTAATTAAAAAATTTTGACAAGTCTGCATATTGCCCTCGAACTCAGTGAATAAATGAATATTGTCTACTTAATCAGCTTGTTAGCCTTTCATGAGTTATATTCAGGTCCAGCACAATACCCCGATAAAGGTATATAGCTTAATAAAGCTATATAGCTCAAGCTATATACCTTTATCAAGGTATTTAAAATACCTTGATCAAGGTATTTTATGTAATGAAAATTCAAAAAAATTCTTTAAAAATTAAATACTGAAAGTCGAATTCTGAGTTTTTGACAGCGTGTCTATTTGTGCATGAAAAACACTCTGGTATCAAAAAGAAAGCATAAAATAACGTCTCCTCTTACGACACGTTTTTATACTGATTTGTTTGTGTTTGAGTACTTTACATGCATGGATGAATTTACTGACAACAACTCAGACCTCGACTTTCAGTAATTAATTTTTAAAGAATTTTTTTGAATTTTCATTTATCAAGCTATATACCTTTATCAGGGTATTGTGCTGGACCTGATATTGTTCTAAATACCCTGACATTACCTTTTTAAAGACTTTACACTGTTCACACCAAATGTTTCCCGAGTCCCCGTCTGTGATCAGATCAAAGTCTAGGGAGGGGACGCTGTCAGTCCCCGGGGCTGGCGATAAACTGTCCACCACGTCCATACTTGCAGTGTGGACATAGTACCACCGTTACAGCTGCAGAAAAAACATACTATCTTAATCACACGTGCAAACTACGTCAGTTGTAAAACAACACGAGGATCAGAAAGGAAGTTTGAGAAGCAAATACATCAGTACATTGAAAAATGTAAGTGTTTCAAGCATTAATTATTATCTTGAGAACGATAGCATTATGTATATTTAAATGTTTCTATATCAAATAGCATAAAATGGCAAAAAACACTTGCAAAAAGTATCAGAATTCCCATACCGGAAGTAAGAGAAACACCAAATATTGTGTAATGGTGAAAAACGGAATTGGTAGGTAAAATATTTCCGGATATATATTTATAGATATCTTGGATAATAAGCGATTATTGTATTAACAAAACGAGGGCTACAGTTTGCTTTAAAATTTTTCCCTTCTACATGATATTCTTTCATGCACATGTAAAAGGAATGAAATTATCATTGGTCAATCTCTGTTTTAAAAGAAATCATTAATTAATTAATTAATTTATTTATTTTATTTATTTATTTATTTATCTATTATTATTTATTGATAGATTGATTGATTGATTGATTGATTTATTATTTATTTATTTATTTATTTATTTATTCATTCATTCATTCATTTATAAATTAAGCATTTATATGAACTGCAGTTAATCTTGCTCTAAAGAAGAACACAGTAATGAGCTCTCAATTCGAAAAATCCAAAGATGTGAGTTCAAGAGCAGTGGACGGAAACAAGGGATTGCGCACGCCCGAATGTATCGCGGGATATATAACGGGAAAGAAGAAAATGTAGGGCTTCACCCACACGTGCTTGAGGACAGGACCCCCCACCCCACCCCATATAAATCCCCTGCCCTTTTAGACTTTTTTTTTCACAAGAATTATATATGGATGAAACATTTGTGATATAATCTATCCTATCAATTCAGAAAATTTGCTTTAACTAACATTTTCTAAAAATTTCTACCCCACTCTATATTTTTTTTTATATAAAAAGTTGGATAGATTTTATAAAACGTTTGTTTTATGTAAATTTTTTTAATGCGGTTTGTTGGTATAGTTCTTTATCACAAATATATCAATGAAAGATAATTTATGAGAAAAAAGTCGAAAAGGCCAAGGGGTCTAAATGGAAGGGTGGGGGGGGGGGTCTTGCCCTCAAGCACCTGTGGCTTCACCGAATTAATTTTAATATAATACATACGTTCATGTACATACGTTTATGCTTTGCAAAGAGAGAATGACCTCTCTCTCTCTCTCTCTCTCTCTCTCTCTCTCTCTCTCTCTCTCTCTCTCTCTCATGCAAGCTTGTTATGTTTTAGACATTTTATGGTAAATTTCTCCAATACAGTATATTCCATATGCTTCCCCTCAAAAAAGTTACATGTATTAAATTAGCATGATGCAAGCACGTTATAATGTTTGCATGCATAATTTTGGTCACAAAAAAGGGGACGGGAGGGGTCCCTCCCCTTTAAATCCTACAGTGATCTGTTTTGTTTTTCTCCTTTTGACTCATGCACACAAATGTTTATTGTGATAAATTGGACATCTA